TCATTCCTTCTGTCGTCCACATGTATCAAAGGAGGCGAAATCGCCTGTTTGTGGTGCGACGTTAAATAAACTTCTACAACAACAACAAAGAGTTATTTCCTGGATGTCGTCTTGGCGGTTATCGCCCAATCTGTCTAAAACTAAAATCATGCTCTTTCCTTCTCAGCCCGATGTTCCGCCCCTCCTCCATCCCACTTTCCCCCAGCCTATAGACATAGTCTCCAGCCATAAGCATCTTGGCATTTTCATTGACTCTAATCTTTCATGGGAACCCCACATCGATTACATATGTAAACGATCAAGTTCATCTTTAGGAATTCTCTCTTCTCACTGTTACCATCTCCCAATCTCTTGTAAACTCCTCTTTTACTCAGCTTACTTACTCCCCAATTTTGATTATGCAGATACTGCTTGGGCTGGAATTTCCACAACCCGTGCTGCCAAGCTCGAGATTCAACACAAAAAAGTTCTCAAAATCCTCCTCCGAAAACCCCGCATGCTTCCATCTTCCACCCTTTAGTGCCCTTGCTGACACTTCCCATTTGTCTAAGAGACGTAATTCACATCTTGTCACCCTTATCCATTCTCTCAAACTCAATCTGTGTCCACCTCACCTCCACTGTTTCAACTGGTTCTCTTCCCGTAGCACGAGAAACTCCCTTTCCCTTCCGAAACCTAAGTCCTCCTTTCTACTTCACTCTCCCTTTTTTATTGCGTACTCTGCGTGGCTGGCACTTCCCCAAGAAGCTAAGGACCTTTCTTCCCTCCGCCTTTTTAAGAGCCTTGTCGCGCCTTGATTTTGATTTTGTGTTTCTGATTTGGTTGCAATCACTGCTTATCCATGCCGGTTCCTTTTTCTTCTCCTCCCCTTCTCCCTGCCTTGCCGTGGTTGGCTAACACCCTCTCTCTCTTTGTATTGGCCGGTGTTCTCACTGTGCTATGAGATGCTGTAATAAATAAATAAATAAATAAATAAATGTTGCTCACGAAGCACCTCATTGGCTTGATCCTTCATGAGTCGATGGTGTAGCCTGTTGCGGTGCCGTACTGCAGATACCAACTACTCAGTTAACCAAGGACAGATACGGCGACCACGCTTGCGCCTCGCCACCAAGGGGGCGTACTCATCTAGTGTTTCCATAATAGCAGACGTGAATGCACCTGTCATGTCATTTATCGTGCCGTTCCGAGGGAACTGATATTTAGGATTTCACTGCCGTCGCCAGCCCCCCCCCCCCCCCCCCCCCCAGGCCCTCCTTCGGCCAGCTGGCTTGAGGGGGTCTATGTGGAGGGGCTAGTGACAACAATGAATTCCTTACATATGCAATTCCATACGCGCATCCAAGTTGACCTACCATGAAGAATGACAACTCATTGACAAGGCCGAGGGTAAGCACAAACAGAAACTTACCATTCTTCTTCTAAAGCTTGTCCTTATCGTGTCCTCGTGAGAAAAATGGATAGCTTTGATTTGGGCGTTTGTGAAGGTGACTTGGAAGATCAAGAGCTTTTAGAGGCTACTGCAAATTATTTCAATTTTTTATCACCCAGCGAACTAGCCAAAGTGTCTGATTTTTCTTTATCATCAACCGCAACTGCAACTTTGTCGAATGGCGAAGTACTGGAGAAGACCACCACGGAAAAACGTGTAACATCCGAGCCAAGTATTGTAGAAGAAACGTCTCAACGATTTGTGCAAGTGTCGGAGGATGAGATCGACAGAATCCGAGAAAGCCGTGTTTCAACCAACACGAAGCGAGCCACCAACGTGTCTCGGATGTTTGGTGTACAGTCTATAAGAAAAAATGTGATCTGAAAACCATCTCAGCTACCAACCTTGCCTCAATCCTAAAGCATGCGTATGTGGAAATCAGGCAGATCAACAAGCTTTCGTACTCCAAGAACAGTTTGCTGCAATTCCGCAGTGCTATTCACCGCCAGCTACAAGACCTCAAGCGTAACATAATAATAATAATAATAACTTTATTAGGATGACTCAAAGGCAAATCGCCTATCGAGGGGTTCACCGCATTGAATGGTTGTGGTATGACAAAGCAAAGAGGCAACCATTGTGTGTGTGTGGGGGGGGGGAGCTTCGAACTAATATAATGCACAGTGAAGGGATAATTGTATGAACATAACCAAGGAAAGGGTATACCGGACAAAGTTGCCATTTTTGTGAGCAACGGATTCAACCTATACTCTGATCTAGAATTCACCGAAGCCAACCAAGTCCTAGATTGCTACTTGAAGCAGATGAAGCGCGACGGCCTGGCAACCCCGATTCTACACAAGCCACCAATCTCCGACGAAGGCAAAGACAAAATCTACAGACATCTAGATATAATAATAATAAAATAAAAGTATTCGCGGGATCCGCGTTAGCATCACTTAAATGTTCAGAAACACACAAGCTATAGCCTTCGCTTCCGCAGGCCACCACTATGCCTTTACACCTTAGTGGCGAATGCAGACCTCACAAGTGAGTCAGGGGAGAGGAGGTGAGTCTCTCAACCAATCGGGCGTGTAACGGCCGATAACCCTGTAAACTGCATCCTTGTTATCCTCACTCGAGCTGTGAGTACCCAGTTGAGACATCTAGAAGACTGGAAAAACAACCCCGAGCATCTCACCTACCTTGTCTGGTTCGTCATCACATATCACTTCTGTCTCAGGGGTTCAGAAATACAAGCGCCTAACAGCTTACTTGCAGCCTAGCGAGCAAGATAAGATTGCTACAGCTCGCCTGCTCGATGCGGAGGTTGATAAAGCTCTGCAGGAGTCAACTCCGGCTGAATTGGAAGCCTTGGAAAGGCCACAAGTACCACCAGCCTCGCCAGCCTCATCGTGTGTCACTTCGGAGAACAGCGCAAAGTTCATCTTCTCCGGAAACTTTGCAGGCGCTGTTCACATCCACGTTCATGATGTCAAAGCCTGTGAGCAGCGCTAATTCTCAGATACAGTGCAGTATATTGCTTCATTTTCATAATCTTCTCTTCTATCTATATTTCCTGGGACTCTTTTACATTGATGTCCTTTCACTTCTGCTTAGACTTCAATTAAAACAATTCGAAGCTTTGAATATTTCTGTCCCGCGAATGATGTGTCAGACGGGGGTGAATGGGTGTGGCATCGGAGAGGGTCTCCACACAATGTGATGTCCCATTCAGTTCACAGGGTCAAATCTACTACATGTACAGTATAGTAGTGGGTAGTACTACATGTACAATTGTAGTATCATGTTTATGTTTATGGACTCGATGTACACATGTAGCATGTGATAAGCAGGATATGACGGTCGTAGATCTACGTGTTAGGTTCGTAGGGTCATATGTGATAAGTAGAATATCACCCTCGTAGCTCGGGTGATACCGTACCCTCATATCAATCCCTTCTGCTTCGCAGTCGGGATTCGTCGGTATCACCCTCGTACTCATGAGATATTAGGGAGGTTCTGCTCTACGTTTTGGGAACGCGACGCAAAGAATCACGCGAACTTTCTTCGCGTTCCCGTAACGACGTTACGTAAAGAAATGCTGTTCTGCTCTACGTTTCACCTAGAGAAGTCACGTGGAATGTGTACTGGGAATTTCCCCTTCCATATTTGGCAGTTTTCTGCATGCAGTTGATCGATACCCAGCAAATCCGTACGCATTTTCTCTGCGTGTGCCACAACGTAGAGAACCCCATCTCCGCGTAGAAATCTGGAGCCAAAACACGCGAAGCCGTAGACTCTAACCCAGACACCTGCTCTCTACGTGATTTCTCTACGTTTCACGTATAGCAGAACCTCCCTAATCTTTACGCAGTCAACACAACGTAGAGAACTTCATCTGCTAGTACCAGTGCACTACCAGGGAGTAGTACAATAGGTATTGTACTACTCCCTGCTATAATTATAGTAGTACCAAGAGTGCATAAACAAACAAAAAAATGTAGGTTTGCAGCGTACGGCAAACCGTAGTTATCGCTGACAACCGAGCAGCAGGCAAAAGCCACGCGCGTGGCTAGGCGCGCAACAATGGGGGTGTCTGGCATGCAATGGCGGGCAGCCGTACTGGGGAAAGCCCAGGCCGCAGTACGAGTACGCCCATATGCGCGGGCGAGACTACCCCATATTTGCATAAAGGTATCAGCGCTACTAATGCAATGTTTACTATAAACAGGGCTCATGGCGCCTAATCTCTATATTAGGAAGCAGTTCCTTTCATGGCACGAAAGCCTCCAGCGCGCGTACTAAGCCTCAGCCAAGGTACAGTACTAACCGAGTACGCAAGATAGAACAGGCGGTGTGGCGGAGCAAACATACCACGTATGGAAGAGGCGAAGTCCCCGGATGCCGCCCGGTCCACAATGACAGACACCACCATGCTTATATGGGAAATAAGGCGCGAGAGCCCACCAGGTAAGGCGGGCCGCATAAGCACGTGGCAAGCGCAAATAGCGTAAGACGTAGGTCTACCCACGAGGCCACAACGCGAGAGTACGGCAGCATGAGCAGAGTACGAGAGTACGATGCCGGATCAACGCAGGGCGGACCAAGGTGTGGTAGTGCCACAGCACGAGGCACCTCAGCAGTTGGATCATGGAGGTGGCGAACGCAGGGACAGCATCAATTTGGCAGCTAGCAGCAGCAGCAGATGGGCGTGATTTTTTTTCTTCTTCAAGACTAGCAACTAGCTCGTTTCACTCGTGATTGCTTAATCACATGGCAAAAACAACAAAAATGCAACCCCATTCTATGGTGCTATGATGTGTGTGTCTCGGGGGGAGGGGCGATAACTCAGTGTTTATGGACTCTTGCTAGTACCAAGAGTACATAACCCCATGTACTCTTGCTAGTACTACGCGTAGAAATCTGGACCCCAAACACGTAGATCTACGCGAAGCCGTATAATATATAGTTGAGTCCAGATCAGACACCTTCTCTCTACGTGATTTCTCTACGTTTCAGGCAGGGAGTCCTTGACCTTGTAGCTCTTATTATATTAGGGGCCGGGCCAAGAACTGCCCACGTGCCACTACAGTTCCTTCCCAAAAGACTGAAAGCGTGCGAAAAGTACTGTAGTTTCGAGGCGCAAGCCAAATGGCTCCCTTTCGCACTTCAACCTAACTCGGATCCTTCCTGAGCAAACCTCCTCACGATCACCACTACCAGACCGTAGACAGTAAGCATGGTGGAGGCGGCGAGTGTGCTATTGTTCCTTCTGCTTTGCACTTTCAGCACAAGCACGGTGAATGCCTTCATAATCTTGTAAGTGACTTAGTCTGACTCTTTATATCATAATTACTTCATAGCTTTTGGGATGCAGCTGTACTGTCTCAGTAGAGGGAAGGTTTGTTTGTTTGTTTATTTACGGATTCTCCAGAGGTAAATGGATACCTATCATGGGAGTCTCACCAAACCAATAAAATAATGAAAATAAAATTATGTATGGAGCGCAAAAAACTCAAAATCTGAGATTTTCTAAGTCAAATGAGAGGAAGAACAATAGATTGAGAACCAGGGGTGCTAATACTTAATAGAACACTGGAAAGGCACTAAAACAAAATAACTGCAGTAGCGAATTTAGACTATATTGTTCAACACGTGAAACTAGGTATGCCGGAAACTGAGAAGCGGTAAACTTCATACAGCTTCCTTACCTGGCGATTAGGAAGGTGAATGCACACAGGCGCGTAGCACCGCCGTTGGCGGTGGTCCGGCCAGGGGGGCCGGGGGATGTCCCCCCTGATTTTTTTGAAATTAGGGTGCAAATCCTGCATTCTGGGCACTTTTGGCATTGTTTTACTATGGTGGTCGTGGTCGGGCGTTAAAGTGGTCCGGACCGGCCGGAGCGGCTGCATACTGGCCAACCCTCCCGTTTTTCCCGGGAAAATCCCGGAAAATCGACACTCCTCCCGGGGTCCCGGGGATTTCAAGCAAACTCCCGGAAAAACCAAAGTTTTGTCTGATACAGGATTTTCTAGAAAACTCCATGGTTTCTGCCTGAATATCCCGGTTTTTTGAACTTTTTTCAAAGGTATGTACGGTGCTCATTCGCACTTCGAACCAGGGAGTAGTACAATACCGGGTATTGTACTACTCCCTACTTGGAACAGTGCACAGCACTTTGAAGACCTGACCATGCCTGCAAGATCTGCACTGACAAAGTGACAGGCGGGCGCCGACTGATCAAACTGCACTATGTCTACGAGCTCTCGTACAGCCTATGGCCTAGGGTCGATCTGTGCTGTACGCACAGCTGTAGAGTCGAACGTTTTTTTGGCGGGAAAAGCTCAATTTCACTTGTTTTTGTGCCATCCAGGGATTTTGAGAGAAATCCAGGGATTCTGCATGTCTTGTCAAGGGATTGAGATTGTGGTGGTTGGTCAGTATGCGGCTGCTACGCCCCTGGCATATAGCGGGGCAATAGGGCTTGAAAGTGCTACGTCACAGCATAGCAACAATTTCAAAAATTCAAAAACTGGATCAACTTGGATCCAGTTTTTGTATGGATCCATGCACATTTCAAGCCGTCTTACTCACCGCAAGGTGATGTAGCCAGTGAAACTGACTGATTTGGCTACTGGGGGCGGGGTTACAACTGGTGTAGAAGTAAAAGTCACCCCTGCATACGACATGAGTAGGGATCTCAGCGCGTGCAGTGCGCAGGGTGTTTGCGCATACATTGCGTCATCGAGTTTTGAGTGCAGCTCGCGGACACAGCAGAAAAATGGCGACGGTCGATTTTCGACACTAGGGGACGCGGTGGACACTAGCGGAATCGTCATCTTCATCGTCGTTCGAACATACTTTGTAATTCCCGCCGAAGGACAGCGTGGCCAAGGCGATATTGCCCCGGTCGATTTTCCTATAATTTTCCATTCGGCAAAAACCCACTTCAGAGAGGATTCAGTCAAAAATTCAGACGTTTCTCCGGTTAGATTGTCCTAACTTCGATTTTCAGTGCATCCGCCATCGCGAACATCGCCGCCATTATCACTCAGAGAGAAGACATCGCGCTCAGTAGAAGAGGTGTTCACGCTGCGTCCAAGAGTGAAAGATTGTGCTCTTTGACCCTCCATAGTTCCTCTGAGAGAGTGTCTGGGAGATAGGTAGCTTGGAGATGGCCGTAGAACGTGCTTTCCTGGACGCAATATTCAGCCATTCCTACTGTCTTCTTCAACTTGATTTATTTGGAAAAAATGTTCTTTTCCACGATTTCTGCACTGGACGCGTTTGGGATCGAAAATCTCACCTGCGCAGACTGGCTGCGCAGTTCACGCGCTGAGATCCCTAACATGAGTGGGTTGCTATGCACCCACATACTGAGGCAATAGCAAAGTCACACCTTAGTGGATCCAAAATAGAAATCTGATGGCAACTTACTACTCCCTGGCCGTTTTTGACGTCATCACTTTCAAGCCCTATTGCCAATAGCTTCTTGATCTGTTATTTTACATCATTATTGTGAGCATCATTATTGTGAGCATCATTATTGTGCAAAATATTGTATCCATGTCATCATAGTGTCGTCATCGTGATCACAAAACATTCTTAAACCGTACACGACAAAGCGTACTTGTCCATACGTTAACTCATTAGTTCTTGCTCGCTAGAGCTTCGTTGTGGGCTAGTCATGGCCCAAATTTGCTCTGCCCACATCGATATTTTGCCGCACAATTTTGCCACAAAATTTTCGATTTAAGGACGTTTAGCAGTGCGAAAATTCGAACTTTTGGTGGTGATATTTCGCGAAAATCTGTTTCGAAAAAGAAAACTTGTGAGGAAAAGGACATATGGATACGAGTTAAGAGTAACTCTCCATCACTGTAACTGGATACTATATACAGTCAGAAAGTGCAATAACTAGGCACAAAACTGACAAGAGTACTGAGACATTCGACGTCCTGACACCTAGCTTCAACACGTCGGTTAGCGCTACGGAGATGTATTGAAGCTAGGTGTCAGGACGTCGAATGTCTCAGTACTCTTGTCAGTTTTGTGCCTAGTTATTGCACTTTCTGACTGTATATAGTATCCAGTTACAGTGATGGAGAGTTACTCTTAACTCGTATCCATATGTCCTTTTCCTTTCTACATTTATTTATGGCTCAACATCTGAGTTTCAAAACTTGTGAGGTTAAAAAAAAAAGTAAATTATCGTGTCCGTTCCCGAAGGGAACTCACGACGGCCGCTAACACCCGATAAACCCTAGCGGCAGATGCAGCGCCTAACGGTGGGGGTGAGTGGGTAAGCCTCACAACCACTGGCACAAGTGCCGAGAACGACCCCATTAGCTGCATCCATGTACCCCTTGTGCCTGGCCACAAGTTCCCAGTTGACTGTGGGTAGCAGCACGGCTGGAAAAAACCGCTCCCAGGCAGGACTTGAACCAGTTACCTCTCGTATCTCAATCATGGTCTTTGACCAACCCACTGTGCCTGCCTGGTTTAGCAATGTGAAATGACTTTTTCTCGAAGTTATTTGAATCTTATAGTACCGTACCGTATATGCAGCTCAGTCTCAAGTAGGCCTCGGCGGGTAATGCTAGTTATTTCAGCTCAAAATGCTTTTAGCATTGCTAGTTATTCGGTCATATAATGCTCGTTAGAATGCTAATTTGGACTTGTAATGCTAGTTGAAAAGGCAATGTGAACCACTCATATGGCATTGTGTCATAATGTAAGTCACACTGCACGGAATACTGCTATTGGAAGTACCTAGTACTTTGAAAGTAGATTATATGGTGACGCTATTTCAAAATGATGTGGAACTGAAGTTGCTATCATGAACTAGCAGTGAATAACAGTAAATCAGAACCCTATGTTACGTCGACAGTCTTCAAAGTACTTTGAGGGTGCATACGGAATGCTATTTTGGAAATTTAGTATATTGTGTGGTATGAAAAAGTACAATATAAGTCAACGTATCACTTCGTGGAATGAGTCAATCAGCACAGTGGGCAACTAGTGCATGAGTATAGGTAATCAGTCCAGACACCAAAACTTGGTGATTCATTGCAGCAATCCATTAGCAACACAATGGGGCATAATCCCAGTGAACACACTGTCACAATAGTAGGAATGTTACTTTCAACGAAACCACACTGTAATTCTTTGGTAGATTTTGCTCCAGAGCTCAAGCATGACAACACCACATAACTCAGCTCATGGTCATTCCTTGGATCTCATCCTGTGCTGCTTACAGCTCAGTTGTGTTTCTTCCACGGTTGTACTGGAGCATGATCTCTAACTGCAGATGATCAACGAGCATTGAATATTGCCGGCTGCCAGTAGCTGCTTCCAAAAGGGAGAACACTCTTTCGGCGGCTGCCGACGATGGTGGGACAGTGATCACAATGCATGCTGCACTTTGCCATCCTGGAAGGTTAGTTTGGTCTTTCCACCATGCCAGGCGGTCTTGGCCTAGTTGGACATCGGCTGCTGCTACCTTGTATGCAGCGAGCTCTTTCTTCAGGCGTTGAATAATCCCATCGTCATCTAGAGTTGGGAAGGATTGTCGCGAATGGCACCAGTGTCTGCTCCAGCGCCGGGTGAGCCGGGTAATCCACCCGGTTGGGCGGCGCTTGAACCCGGTTGAAAATATTATAGTACCGGGTCACCTGTGACCCGGTTGGTACTTTACACTTTCGAACTTTGAAAGGACTGACTCCATGGCTTGTATGTGTCAGACTCCAGTACTTCTTCTTCTTTTGTAATTTTCTAATTCCTGTCCTCTCTTTTCTAAATGCGGCTTATCCATTCGCCTTTATATCATTGGGCCTAGTTCCCGTTTATTGTCCGAATTAAAATAAACCAACCAACCAGTTAAAGCATGTGACTCGGCTGGTGAGACAGCGCCAGGTACATGTGTACCCGGCTCCGACCCGGTTGAAATGGTTGCGCCAGGTACACGTGTACCCGGCTGTCCTACAATCCTAGAGCAGACACTGGGCACCACCATTCGCGAATCTTTCTTGTACAGTACTATAGTTGTAATATATTCAGCCGCTTATGTCTATCTGGAGAGCAGTCTCTGACCGGCTCGACTACGCTCTGTTTTCATTTCCGTCCCCGAACAAGAACTCAATGGCATATATCTCGGCGTACGCTCCAACTCTCCCAACGTCTGAGAAGACTCCCGCAGTACGACAGGAATTCTATGACTCGCTGCTCACTCTAATTCGTAGTTTTGCCAAGAGAACGCTCGTGCTCGTGGGAGGCGACTTCAACGCTAAGGTCGGCCGCCGCCACGCATCCGACGCATA